TCCTAGTAGCGATGCCAGGAGCCCCTAGTAGCTTTCTTGTTCCTAGTAGCGATGCCCTTTGCTCCTAGTAGCTTTCTTGTTCCTAGTAGTAAGGCCAGGAGCCCCTAGTAGCTTCTGGCGAATAGCAATGCTCCACCCTAATAGCTTCTTGCTAGCAAGGTGCCTTACTGGTAATAAGCTAGTAAGGCGTAGTAATGCCCTAGCTACTAGTAGCGATGCCCTTGTTACTAGTAGCAATAAACATATGTCATTTTATATATGTCAATATCATGATGTAAGCTGCAGTAGCTAACCCGCTGTTTGAAGGTCAATCTTTGTTTGATGCTAGCAGCCGTGGTCCATGGTTGTCAGAAGGAAACGTTCTCTGCATAGCCACAAATGGCGCAAGAATAGATCATTGATCACCTTCGAAACTTTGTTTTTTCTGTGTCTTTTTTTGGAGCTCCTGGCGACCAACTCAGCAGCTTCTTGGAAGACTTCCTTGGTCTCGTTTGGCAAACCACTCGCAAAGGAGAACGGGATCTCCTGGTGCAATAAGGACTCCATGAGGTCCTTAACTTGTGTTCTCTCTGTCACGAAAATAAGCTAGGAGCAATGTTCACTACTAGGGGCTCCTGGCATCGCTACTAGGAGCAAGGACGCTACTAGGGGCTCCTAGCCTTACTACTAGTAACAAGAAGCTAGTAGTAAATGAATTGAATTTAAGGAACCAAATCGGTGCGTGAGCTATCCTGCGTCCAGTTACTGAAGCTTGAGTAGCTAGGAGCGAACAAGCTTGCCCCCTAATTAATTAGGTTCGTAGTCTCTACTTAATCAAGTGAGGGGGCAAGGCCACGGACTAAAAACAATGCTCTTAGTCTGTTGCTTACTCTTTTTTTCTTCGTCCTTTTCTCCCGCTCTTCCCTCAGACTACAATTTAAGGCTTTTAAGACTTTTTTAATCCCTTGTCTATTTAAGATATCTCGATGAGCTTTCAGTCTTTCCTTGCTCCTCCTCTTGGGTCAGCGAGGACGCTTGGGACGAGGTGAGTTGCGGGGAGACTTCGGCTGAAGGATTCAAAGAAGTGAGAGGGGTCCTTCTCATTGTATTTGTATTCAGATTGACTTTTAAGACGGTGGATCGAGGCAGGCGGAGGATAGAATCTGTCCACAAGGGCCTATCTCATGATTGAGTGCGGGCTTGTGCATTGGCCCTATTTCCAGGCCTACCCCAAAAAAGAAACCTCTTATCTCATTTGACCCTCATTTGATTGCTGCACGTTTTGCCTGATGCAAGATCCCATCTCATCTGATGGATATATGCTCACTTTTGCATCTTAAAGTACCATCTATATGTCTATCAGAAGAAAAATTACCGATGCAAGTTAGTCATCCCCACACTCCCTTGCACCACCAGAACCGGTTGAGCTACATAATTTTTGGCCCAAACAAGGTTCCCTTCCCCGGATCGACTCCTAAACTTTTTGCAGGATGAAGGACAGCATACTCGTGAGCCGTTGTGAGCATTGTCAGGGCGTTGACTGCTGGCAAAACATCGTTAAAAAAAAAAGATGAGTGGACATGGGTGTAGGTAAGTCTATTGGGTTATTGGGTATTCATGCTAAAGGTCATCAGGTTCGGCACAGTGCAGCTTTTCTGCTCGTCATGGCCTGCTCCAGCTTGGTCGGAGGGTTGCCATAGCCTCCAAAGGTCTTGGTATGTCTTGGTGCTTGTAAATCTTTAGGAGGTCTGAGTCTTGGTTGGAGGCCATCGCTAGTAGGGTGGAGGCCATCGCTTAGGACCTCGAGAGCTCATTCTCAGGTCAACTATGCACAAAGAATAGCTATTAGGAACAAGTGCCACGCTACTACGAACAAGTGCCTTACTAGTAGTAACAAGAAGCTACTAGTAGTAACAAAGAATTGATGGACAAAAGTACTCCAAAGCTCTATCTATATCGGTGTGCCTTCCGGTGGGGAGGGCGGCAAGATCTCCTCTCCCCTGGAGCTGGCACCGTGGTTGTGCACATCTACAGTCGGTGGCTACAACCGACTGCAAACTGTGGACTAGTTACATGTCATGACTCAATCTCATAAGGTTTCACATTGGAGACTTCACACACCCAAACAAGAGCTCCCACGAAACCCCTGTGCCGATCCAAGACCTCAGGCGATTTCTTACGTTCAAGCCACCAGATGAGCTCAATCAACTGAGTCACCACGCAAGAGCGAGCAACTGAGAGGTCAGAGATGCTACCCTCTTGTCAAATGCTACCCTCTCCATGCGAACTGACGAACGTTCGAACTATTTCTTCACTCCTCACAATGCTGGTGACGTAGAGCAAGTCCTCCTCTTGCACATCTCGATTGGATCGAAGGCTCTTGTAGATGTCCTCAAGGCTCCGAAGCTCCGGGAGCAGCTTTGTGACGTTTCTTTCTTCCAAAAACATTCAATTCAATTCAATCAACAACTCGGATAATTCGAGATCAGAAATGGCTGATGTGGCAGATTTTGTTTGCCCTTCACTCTTTCAGAATGCGTGAGCTGTTTCCGTGATGCAGTCTTAGTCCTGATCCACACCAGTGTGGACAAATAATAGTGCTTACAGTGCCTTCTAGTATAGCAGCCACTTCCCGAATCGCTTCACTCGGTTCATCCCCACAACCAAGAAAATGCAAAATTATGAAATCACATGTTTCAATGTTTGCCCTTTGCGCTCCCTTAAACAGTTGCAAAAATGCATTTTAGCCCGCGCTCTAAACACCAAAACCGAAGTTTTCTTGTTGCTACTAAAAACAAGTGGCAAAACGACTAGTAGCTAGAAGCTGCTGAAACTCTCCAAGGCTCTGGGCCCACCAACTTGGTGGCTTCGATGCGACACGAGACACTGTTGTCCTTCACACGCCGATTTGGATTCCTTGGCATTCACCATATGTGTGTCACTGCGCGTCACACAGAACCAGCCGGTTGGAGAGAGTTTTGGGCAGCTATACAGCATAGCAGGCCTTTCTCGACAAGACTGTTTGTGCTGGCAGCTTCTGATTCGCAGTCTGATCCAGGTGAAATGCCTCAAGTTGCACATCTCAAGGACCATGGAGCGAAAAAAACTTTGTGATACTGTACCACTTCTGTCCATGCATTGGTTCAAAAAAACAGCTGTCTGAGAATGTCTTAAAGTACAAACTCTCCTGTCCAAGCTGGCCAAATTGTGAAACTGTCAGCACGGTTTTCTTTCTGTTGCCTATGTTATTCCTATTTTGTTATTTTGTGTAAAAGGTCCAGATACCTGCGTGTGCACCATGTCTACCTGCGTGTGCATATAGCATTTCTGTGAGAGATTCTCAACCAAACCGTGTGGGTCTGCAATTCCTGTGCCCATGTTCCTAATAGCTTCTTGTTACTACTAGTAAGTTACTAGAAGCGATGCACTTGTTCCTAATAGCTTCTTGTTACTACT